CGGCATCGTGAGTCAGGCAGACATTCCTGACCTGACCCAGTTATGGAGTTACCCTATAAGGGTCCAGTTAACAGTATCGAGTGTTTCCTGTTGAGGGTCTAGCTAAATACGTGTACGTTTAGACAGTTACCCTGGTTGGGGTTGTTAATAAACGTTGTGCCTCCAACTCTAGTGTATGCCTCCGTGGAACCACTACATATGTATATGAGCTGCGATGACATACTGTATATATAATAAACTAAGTCTGAGGTCACATGTTCGAGCTCCCGGCACAACATTTGAAACAATGGGCAAGTTTAATAAATTCCCACACTTGTCAACTCAGCAGTATAAATGAGTAACACCACAGTTAGTCTGTCGGTACGTCCTGTGGGTGTGGTAAATCGTGAGTTAATGTGCCGTTTCCAAGGCACATGGACAGCGTGGGAAAATAGACCAAATACCCTCGAAAGGGGCTCTCTAGAGCTCCGTCTAGTGGACGCTCTCCCACCAGCCGTGACGTGAGCAAGACATTGTTAGTGTTAAGGTTGTTACAATGCTATCAATGTCCTTGCAGAAAGCTCGATGTTGGCCAGAAGCTTCGTCAACGTATAAATTGATAAAAAGGGGTTAACTTATGTTACCTGAAAAAGAGCCGTCGTTTGACATGTAATGCTCGTAGTTTGGAAAACATGTATTCCTTTTGAATTGATCGTTTCCGTTTAACACATCATGGAGAATGAGTCACCTACAGAACCTACCTTTTTAACTTTGTGTCTTACTAATTCATAACAAAGTTTTTTGGGTTAGATTGCATAAATATAAATGTGTCAACCCACTACCACCCGACACAACCAATTAGTAAAGTTTGTCATGTGAGAAAACGTACCAATTAGTTAATACTTCAGCAGTGTTAGAGAGTAAACCCACAACATTTACAACATTTACAATTTGAGTACGACTTTTGATGGTGATTACAACCAGCTTCAGGCGATTTTCCAGAATTATAAAGAAGTCTTCCTGTTTCCGGTCTTAAATAGAGTAAGGTAATATCACAGTGCGTCTATCAAGTACGAAGATCAGAGGGGGTGAACGTAATCATATACATTATAATAGATTGTGTTAATTTCAAATATGTAGTACATAGTACCGGTTGTGCCCGGTTGTGGTTGTGCTCTTGCGACAGCCTGGATGAAGCAGTTGGCACAACTTTACAATAATGAATGCTGCACTAGAAAATGCCAGTGAAATGTCACGGCTGATGTCCCACAGATACAGTCAGTTCCCCACCTGCAATAAAACCTGAAATTGACGAGAAAAAAACCGATCATAACACAAAACCGCGTGAAAAAGCACTCAGCGTTTGTGCATTATGCAAAACACCATCACACTTCTTGAAATATTGGGTTTCCAGATATGTGGTTGCCAGAAGCAGACTTTTCAGCAGTGAGTACTGGTGCTATACTGTACAGATGAGACGTAGTAAGGACACAACTGGTCTACAATAGTCCACCTCTGTATGTCAGTCATCTTAACTCAAATATATATTTATAGTGACCTAAAACAAGATGACCACAACACACTTCTTCAGGAACTGTTGATGTTTTTTGCATACACATTGATGAGTTGTGTTTACGTATTTTTGTTGTTGTTTCTCACCTGCAGTTGGGGTAGAGTGAATAGTTGTGGGTATATATTAAGTTTATACAAACACACATACAAACTACACGCACTCACGCAGACTGCACACAAACACAATCTTCACACCACAGGTGCAATTCATCAGCAAGTTCAATCGGCTCCAAATTCTCCTGCAGCACATTTCCTATCTAGCTCGTGCCATTCACATTTATCCAACTCTTTCCAGCAAAATAAAAGTTGCTTGGACATGCAATTAATGGCTGGTCATGCTAAATAACCGAGCCAGTACATCTTTACCTTCCGGAGGAGCTCACTAATAGAAAAGTTATCCGAGAGTTCTTCATACAATCCAGTCTGGTTAAACACAGGGTTCATCGTCGACAGGCCAACCTGAATGTTGATAGCTGGTGGAGGTATCGATGTAAACGGGCCCACATTTACAAAGCATGGGGAGGAGAGCACACTGCATACACATATCTTACTCATAAGGGTGTTGTGAAAGGCAACACAAGGGCACCTGAGGCACCATGGCAAAACAGATGTGTAGATTAGCCTCGTGGATTTAGCTTAGGGAAATAGAATGAATGCCATAGGATTGGGGGACAGAATTCCAGACTCGGTGGCATTTTACTGTTCATATATTTTTCCCCCTACATTATTGCATGGGTCACACGTGGTGGGTTGTCCCCTTGGCCATCGGTTTCCATAAAATGCGTTGCACCCGCATTATTGTTGGGCTCTCCTGGTGTGGTTTTGCGCGCGACGCACCGCCAACCACCCTTCTACACAAAGCAGACACATCGAGAGGTTGTGTCACTTTTGGGGGGGTACGGTGTAAACGGGTTGAGAAGCTCATTGAGAGAGTTTTTAGTGGAGTGAGGGTGCTAATAGGTGAACTCAGTCAATGGAAAACACCTCATTTGGGGAATGGCTGATTAACACTTTTCCAATCACACTTTTTCAATTAAAATCTATCCAGTTACATTTTAAAACTCGAAGTTAAAGTGATATAGATTGTTTTAATGTATTTCCCTTGCAGATGTATTCAAGTGTGCGTATTCAGTCTCAAATTATTCCCAATAGCTATCATTCTCTTCTTCATTAAAGGCAATATGCAACCCATTTTTGACGAATATCGACCACTTTTGTTTGACTATCCCGATAAACACGAGACAGTGGGTCGTGGAAGTGTGGATGCTCCGTCCCTTGAAGGTGCAAATAATCGGATCATAGAGGATTGTTGGCAAAGGCGGCTACTTAAAACAGCTGTTAACGCAGTTCGTGAGTGCATACACCATGGGAGTGCAGACGACAGCATTTCTGACAGCAGCCAAGGCTTAGAAGGATAAACTAACTAACAATGCGCACAGGAAGGTGCGGGAAAAGATTTGTGATTAATTATTTCATTTGATCCATTTTTTTCGTTGACACGAGTAAGAAACATTCAGGCGTACGTTATTTTACGAGAATAGCCCGTGGAGGACCTTGGTGGAATAAGAAAATAAATACAGCAGATGAACATTGCACAGCCGGAGTAGCAAATACATTCAAGGCAAACAACATTGAAGTCATACAACATTGAAGTCATGCACCATTCACGTAACACTGGCAGGAAATATGCCTAACATCTGAAGTACCAAGGCACACGAAGTCCGTTAACCACTAGTGCAGGGATGAATGACATCAGAAATATAACCCCATATCAAGGTATTGGAAGAAAGTGTGGAAAACGGGAATCACTTAGGGTGATAGCTACAGTGAGACACACTACAGTATAAACGAGTTGAAAGCAGTGTTTGGGCTAACCTGAGAATATGACACAGACACGCAGATTCTTGAGCCAGTGTTTATTTATGGCAACCATCAATCCATCAGTTTGCGTATACAGAATCTTACAGTATTATAATGATTTATTTAATTCTCAATATTACGTTTAGGTATTTTATATTAACTTACGTTGTAAATTATTTTAATAGTCGTGTATTCGTAAATACATTAGTGAATAAAAGATTGTGCACCCTGCATATATTCGTGGTGCATTACAATGATCGAGGACAGAGCTCTCTGGATTATTGTGCTGTGGATTACAATTGCTTATCGAATATCTACCCCTGGAAGGTGGATACAGCAAAATAATTAACTCTAAGCTTCTAACCGTGATGGAAAACACTTTTAACTCTCATAACCATGATCCACTTGAGGGCACTTCTGCCCAGCAACAACCAGTGACAATCTGCCCTCTATCACGTTATTTCTGTTCATCCCTTAACCACAATTCATTCGTACAGCACAAAACTACGATAAAAACGATAATTTGCATTCATTTGTAAGGCGCCTTCCGCTAATTTGTGAAATCGCCTTGTAAGATTAAGAAAAGGCCAAGAGAGGAGAGCTAGATAGATAAAACAGAATTAAGAAAATGCATTTTTAGACGCGACTTAAAAATATCCACATTGTAGGTGAAACGAATTTCGAACGGGAGGGAATTCCACAACCGAGGCGCAGACTTCGATTTAAAGCTTTCGTGACTGCAGGGATTCATCTTCTTGGTTCTTTCGGTAAAGTCACGTAGAAGGAAAATAAAATAATAAAAATAAAACATAATAAAATAATCCTCACGACGTTTCGGCCACAACGCAAGCAGCCGTCTTCAGGTGGAGAACAGGTCTGTCAAGTAGACATCGTAGACTCTGTCGATGTTTTATTTTTATTTTATTATTTTCCTTCTACGTGACTTTACCGAAAGAACTAAGAAGACGAGGCGCAAACATTGCAAATGCCCGCTCACCCCAGGAACGCAGCCGAGATTGAGGGACACAGGAGGGCAGAATATGTAGATGAATTAGCTCGTGATTATATGGTGGTGCTTGCCCATGCAAGGCTTTAAAACTAGTAGAAGGCACTATGGGGACCTCATTTGCCAGTAAAAATATGATAATTGGTTCTTTACCCTTCTATCTGGCAACAAAACTGACACCTTTTTGCAAGGAGTCATGTTTGCATAGACCGCAATACCTGCAGTCATAATACAAACAAAAGAACATAACTCTGATAATGTGCACTGTCCTTGAAGTTGATTGGTCCACGCCCGAGACAGCTTTCCTTCGAGCCTAGTCTCATATGGGTTGGACCAGATGCTCTCATACTCTGATGGTGCATTGTCCTTGAGTTGTGCGCCTTTTGGCGTCATCTGGTCCAACCCATATGAGACTAGGCTCGAAGGAAAGCTGTCTCGGGTGTGGACCAATCAACTTCAAGGACAGTGCACATTATCAGAGTTATGTTCTTTTGTTTGTATTATGACTGCAGGTATTGCGGTCTATGCAAACATGACTCCTTGCAAAAAGGTGTCAGTTTTGTTGCCAGATAGAAGGGTAAAGAACCAATTATCATAGTAGAAGGCACTTAAACTCTACCCGTTTCAAGATCGGTAGCCTGTGTAAATGATAAGAGAACTTGAGAAATGGGGTCACGTAATGGGGTTCTGGTGAGCACTCTGACTACCGCATTCTGAACAACATCTAGTCTACCAAGGACCTTATTTAAAACACCAACAAGCAAGGCATTGCAGTAATCGATTCGCGAGAGGACAAATGCGTGGACCAACCTCTCAGAATCAACCGATATAATGATGTTGTGCAGTCGAGAAATGTTTCTGAGGTGAAAAAACTAGGTTTTCACAACCTTATTAACATGAGCTTCGAAGGAAAGGAACGCATCAAATATCACCCCAAGATTATTAATCTCATGCTTCGGGCAGACGTTATGGCCAACAATAACTAGGCTGAAAAGTCCCAGTTTACCTGCAATTTAGAGCAGACATTATTATGAGGTCTCTTACTTCAAACACAAAATAAAAACCTCTTATCAAGGCAACTTCACTCCAGCCATCAATGGTACAGACAGGGTCAACAAGTGGTCGCAGAGTGCTTGCTGTCACTGCTATCTAGTGGCCAAAGGCTGTATCACTTAATTTGACTGAAGTCAGGTTTCAAGAGACTGCTGTTTTTCTTCGAGGCTTGTGTTGCCTCCGAAACGTCGTGATTTATTTTATTTTATTTCTACCTACGTGACTTTACCGAAAGAACCGAAGAGTTTGGATTCCTGCAGTCACGAAAGCTTCAAATCAAGACTGCTGTTCATTTATTTTTTCTGGGGTTGACTTACCATGAAACGTTCTTAATATAACTAAGTATGAATCACAGCCTGGTAACACATATTGCTCAATTGCCATATTAAAGTACGATATTTGATATACAATTACAAGAAAATTTTTGATAGAGATTGGACGTTATGACAGTTATCCAACTACTCAGCAAAAATGTGTAAATACAGTACCATAAATCTATTGTGATTTGTGACTGTCTAATCCATGGAGTTAGAACAATTTGTTATTCTTACCTTCAAATTGGAAGTTTCTGTTATCCGTGATTTTGCTGATTATAAGAGCGTGGGTGGACCAGCAGATGGGTACAAAACCTTTATATTATCTGTAATATCCACAGAAATGTGGAAAAGGAATGGACCATCTTCTTGGTTCTTTCGGTAAAGTCACGTAGAAGGGAAGTAATAAAATAATAAAAATAAAACATAATAAAACAATTCTCACGACGTTTCGGCCACAACGCAAGCAGCCGTCCTCACCTGAGGACGGCGGTGACTTTACCGAAAGAACCAAGAAGATGAATCGCTGCAGTCACGAAAGCTTTAAATAGGAATGGACCATGTCGTAGGCAATTTACAGCCCAAAGGAAAGTTCCATCGAATTAATGTGATGAAATTACAAGAGAACATTGGGCCATTCAGAAGTTGCAAATAGTAACCCTTCCTATAAAGCTAATTAAACTGGCTGGCAAAGCTCAACTTGTTCAATGGAGTTACATTGGTATCTGTGATAAACAGTGAATTGGGAAAAAAAAGTCTAATGTTTGGCTGTTAAAACGCCTGAACATGAAATTACTATGGAGAAGCATCCTTTTGGTAAGATATTTCCTTCCCAATAATTATTTATATAGAGAGAATATCAGTGCACGTGGCAGTGAAAACAATATGGTGAATGGAAAGACTTCTTAAAACCTTCCTACGACTTTCCTAAGAAAATTTGGATGGCAATTTTATCCTGTTAATTATTTTACACGGATAAATTATTAAATCTATATCCATTTTAATCGTTGTTAACAGGCTCAATAGTGAGTTTCCCATCCCACACCCATAGAGCAACATGCAGTGGTTCAGAGAAGTGAGCATAAAATGTGTGTAGATGCTCATTGCTGTCAGCATTGTAAAATAACAGAACCCGTTTATCATAGTCCAAGCCAACACCGATTCTGCGAGGATGTTCACCAACTTGCAGCTCCGTGCTATGCTGGTCGTACCAGGCCTTGTATTTCTTCTCGTGTTTCCATAAACACCAGGACCTGCTGTTAAATCCCATCAGGCATGCACTGTCTTGTTCTTTACGTAGAATACTCTCGTAAGAGACACCAACACGAAGGTTTTCCACGTCCCCCACATTCACCACCCAGAAGTGGCATCCTCCAGAGAAACTCTCAGTGGACAGCACCTGTGACCAGTATTTGAACCGATCTGGGTGATCGGGTTTATCTGGAGGGATCTTGAGCCATTCCGCTGTCTTTCCATCATCTGAGATGTTAAGTTTTTTAAATGCCGTGTTTCGATTAAGAGTTGGAGAGCATTTAACTGCAAAGAAACCAGTGAAACATGTCAACAGACATTCACAACCAGAGTTCAGTTTATCAATCCAAGATGTATAACGCCTAGATTTCAGTAAAATAAAATGAGACGGAAGCATGGATGATATTGTTAAATTATTGCAATTTAAACAATTACTTAATGTTTGTACTTTACAATACAATTGCCTCAGTTTTTAGATAAAAAAAACAATTATTTCATACTTATTTTAGCTGTAATGCATACTTAAACGATACCTGGCAGCAACATCTTTGCCTTTAGTAGTGATATTCATGATTAACTAAAAAAGTCCCACAGTGAGGCCCAGTTACTCATCAGATCCCACATACCGGCAGAGTCAAGCAGGGTCTGCAGCTGCGTTTGCTTGTTCTGTCCTGCACGGATCATCTCTAGGAGCCCCTGGCACATTTCTTCACGCTCACCAATAAAATAATTGAGTAAATAGATTGCACGTGCTGAGATGTCAGTAATTTCATAAACCTTCCAGTACACGCGTATGTGAATGTTGTATTTTTTATCCATCTCGTACAAGACATAGAAGGTGTTTTCAGAGATGGATTTATACACTTCTGGCAGCAACTCATGGAACTGGCGCCAAACTTCTCCATCACTGGACTTCATTCTCTTCTCGATGAGCATTCGTGGTCTCTGTCCAAATGGGAAAAAAGCCACAATGGGAATTGTTTAATGGAATTTCTATGGTTGTAGATTTTACTCTTACATTATTTTACATCATTCCTCTAGAGTTGCTAAAATAGAGTGTTACATTTTGGGTGCATATTATTGAAACATTTACATTTCTGTAAAGGGATAAATGGACCTGCCATTGTAATCTGGAATTTCCTCTTAATGGTTTAGGACTACCAAGACACTGAGCTTTATTTTTGCAGGATCCCATAATAGTTTTAAAGGTTACAACTAACTTTCCAAAGGTTTTATTTTACAGTTTCACTGCTTACTATACATCTTCCTTTGATGATTTTTAGTTATCCAGTGCCAATATTGTATGAACGTATGTATCGACAGCAAGATGCATACTTATAGTGGTTCTGATTATAGCTAAGATAGCCAGTTATTTCATGGAATATATTATATTTGTTTTGGAGTACTCTGCCAGTTATTGGATTGATTACGTGATTAATTGGCTTACGCAAATAAGGTGACGTAGTAGCTTGGTAAAGTACATTGCATCATCAGCCACATCACAGAGTGGAGCTTGTATGGAAATTTACAGTAAGCATGGAACATTCGTATAACGGTCCATCCACATGCCAACGTTGGCTCAGCATTGAATGTATACTGGGGGTTTCTATCTTCAGGAGGCAGTAAGTGGGGCAGCTGCCATTTTTCAATGGCCAGAGCAATTGACCACAAAAAAGTAGTCAATTACAAATTACAGTTAATGGATCAATTTAATTGATTCATCATTCCAGCTATAGCTGCGATTTAATGTGTGACATAGGTTTTGGTCAACCGATTGTAAATAGATCATGCCGATTACTTTTATTTTATGAGTAAATGTATTTTTTAAGACAGCGGAAAATATATTGCGATTGGCAATAAATTGCTATTGTGCTATTTGATAAGGATGATCTGTATTTATAGCTTCAATTCCACAGCATCTCCAATAAACTTAAAATACAGTGAAATACAAAACAGTTAAAACAGAGCAAAATACAGAGTAAGAAAAATAGATGAAAATTATACAAAAGATCCATGGCAGAACATGACAAACAGTGACCACCACAAGTACAATAGGGCAACATTCAGACAACAGAGAGTCCCAGAGAAGTCTTGAAAAACATGATGGGAAATACGTTGGCCAGCTTCGGCTCACCATTCTAACACCCTACCCAATCACCACCACACCAAAAGTAGGGATAAGATAGTTTTGGGAGAGTCTACATTCACAATTAAACAGTGGGAGGCTCCACAAGAGTACATGAGTTCCCGTGATGCAATGTTATGGGAGCCAGGCCCCAGCATATGCTGCTTGACTTACCTCAAGGACACCCTTGGGCACTTCCACACTAAGAAGTGGCACAGTCTCTGTCACGTTACCAGAATCATCTGTTCCTGTACAAGAAGACGTGACACATTTCCACTCTGTAGTATCTACTGAAAGCATTGCTAATCATCCTGGGAGCACAATGTATGCTTTATGCTGTTATGACTATGATATTATGGGAGGGTGTCTAAAAGTGAACCTGCTCGGTTCGTAAGTAAACTACAACATACTCTTTGGTTCTTTCGGTAAAGTCACGTAGGTATAAAATAAAATAAAATCACGACGTTTCGGGCGCAACACAAGCGTCCATCATCCATCTGGGCTTCCTATGGGCCTCCACTCGGCCGCAGCCATTTTCAAACACCTCATGGAGATGGTCTTGGTGGGATTACAGTGGGACTCCTGTCTGATATATCTGGACAACATCGTTTTCAGCCGCACGTTTGACGAATATTTTCAGCGTTTAGAATCGGTCTTCTTCAAAGTGCGTGCTACTACCCTTCAATTCAAACCACAAAAGTCACATTTGCTGCAGTCTTCCATAATGTATTTGGGCCATGTGGTCAGTGCGTCAGGAGTCACTACAGATCCAGAGAAAACTGCTTGTGTCCATGCTTGGCTGAGGTTTGCAGTTTTGTTGGCTTTGCCTCATATTACCGTCGCTTTGTGCAGGATTTTGCGACTATCGTGAAGCCACTCCACGCGCTGTCCGCTAAAGGCCAAAAATTCCATTGGGGCAAAGAGGAGGAAGCGTTCGTCGTGCTTTGGCATTCCCTGACTGACGTGGCCTCCCTGGGAAATCCCGACTTCTCCCTGCCCTTTGTGCTAGACAATGATGCCAGCGACACGGGCATATGGGCTGTACTTTCCCAAGTGGTCGACGGCGCCGAAAGGGTTGTGGCATATGGCAGTCACGTGTTATCCTCCGCGGAACAACATTATTGTGTGACCCGCAGGGAGCTGCTTGCCATTGTGTACTTCATCCAATTGTATAGGCCCTACTTGTATGGCAGGCAGTTCACCGTACGGACGGACCATGCCGCCTTACAATATTCCTTGCACATAGATCAACCCTCAGGTTAGCTGTCCCGCTGGCTTGAGGTGCTGCAGGAGTATGCATTCGACGTCATTCACAGGAAGGGGGCACAGCACGGAAATGTGGACACCTTATCGAGGTTGCCACAGGACAGTAGGTGTGCATGCATGACTGGCTCGAGTCGTTGCAGAGCTCCAGGTGACTTCGTGCCACAGTTGGTGGTGATGGCCGACGCGGCTCCTCTTCGAGGTGTGCCGCTGGCCACGGATTGTGACGTAGGTCTACCTCGCAATGAATGGTCTCGCCTTCAGATTGAGGATACCTCTGTTGAAATTTCATCGCAGGGTTAAATCTGGCAACCATTACTCTACCCCAAGGACCAACCCGGCCGTTGCCCTGCATGACAGCCTCCTTATGCGTTGGGATGCGGAGCTAAAGAGGTACTGTGTTGTAGTGCCCACAGTCCTCCGGGGGAAACTGACTCGTGTAATTCATGAGAAATTGATGCACCAAGGTGCCCACAAAACCTTGTTGACTGTTCAGCAGGACTACTACTGGCTGGGCATGGAAATCGATGTGGTGCTATTTGTTGAAGGCTGCCAGGATTGTGTATGTCAGAAGCCACCGGCTGTGTGTGATCGGCCCCCGCTGCAGTCCATACAGGTTTCTCGTGTCAACAAACTTCTGGCCCTTGACATTTTAGGCCCATTCCCAACTTCTCAACGAGGCCACAAGTTTCGATTTAAAGCTTTCGTGACTGCAGGGATTCATCTTCTTGGTTCTTTCGGTAAAGTCACGTAGAAGGGAAGTAATAAAATAATAAAAATAAAACATAATAAAATAATTATCACGACGTTTCGGCCACAACGCAAGCAGCCGTCCTCAGATGAAGAACATGTCTGTCGATAAGACAGAGTCTGAATGACACGTCCTAGGCTTGGAGCGTTCCACTCACTGACATTGACTATATATCTTGTATTCTCCGCAGGGAATGGATTCTTTGCTCCGCTGCAAGCTTCCTACCAACACTCTCCCATTGACATATTTCGTTGCTTCCTCTTAGTACCTTTCACGCGACGGTCAATGGTATAGTGCATAGCATATTGTATAATAATAAATAGTATTAAAGTGTAATGTTTAATACAATGTATAAGGTAATATATAGTATCCTAATTGTATAGTGAATATACAGCAGTGTGGTATACAGTTGGGTGGGTAGAATAATACATAGTGTAATATTACACTATGTATTATTCTAAGACATAGGGTAGTGTATAGTAATACAGTATACAATTTAATGTTGGGTTTGTCTATGGCAGCACATAGTATGGGATAGACCCGTGTGATGTAAGGAAAAAGTTTAAAAAGTTTAGCTGGAAGCATATTATATTTTTTGCGACCTAGAATTGTAATGTATTACTTACGGCTAGTAGCTCAGCTTATTGAGAGTATATTTAGCATACTGATGATACTATGTAGTTTATACTTTAGCTTTTTACTTGGTTGTTTAGTTACTGCAGCTACATACTATTAACATTCCTTCCCTTAATTCTAGATTTGAAGCTTTCGTGACTGCAAGGATTCATACTCTTAGTTCTTTCGGTAAAGTCACGTAGGTAAAAAATGAAATTAATAAAAATAAAAACAATAAAAATAAAAATAACGACGTTTCGGAGGCAACACAAGTCTCCGTCATCAGGTGGGACCGTCACAGCCAGATTTGCTGCATCAAGTGAGGCAAGGATTCAAGATGTAATCCCTTAAATGCAAGTTGAGGGGGGGAGGAGAGGGGGGGGAGCTCATCAGAATGTGGTAGCCAATGAATGGAACGTATCGGGAGGGAGGGGGCGGGGCTAAAAGAAGGCACGAAGTGCTACGTAGAACGTATCGGGAGGGGGAGGGGGGCGGGGCCAAAAGAATGCACGAAGTGGTACACGAGAGTCGGCGACGTGGACGTGGTTGTGCGCAAGCAACTATTGTTGCACACGCCAACGTATTGGACGGAGAGGGGGAGGGGAGGCCAAAAGAGAGTGTGGGGTGCAAGTGTACGTGGACATGTGTTGATACACATGATAAAAAAGAACGAAAATACCCATGTTTATACCAGTGCTGGCTGAACAATAAAGAGAGTACTGTTAAACACTGGGGATGTTAACACTCGATAAAGTAAAGTAAAATAGTGCCTGTCAGATAAGATGGTCCAACAATGTGTAATTAAGTCTTTTTTGCATGGTTGATAACATCTTTCCAATGATTACTAAGTTTGTACCCATCATGACGGTTTAAATTATTATATGATATATTCGCCAAAAAGGGGGACCCCGTGACGAAGGTGTGGTCGTTGTGGGGAGCCAGGGCAAGGATCTGCTGCAAGAGGTCTCTCCCTCCTCATCGCCGGGCGGTGTTGGATGAACCCCCGCTCTGGCCAGACGAGAGAGAGAGCCCCAAAAGGATAGCCGAGGGAAGGACAAGAGAGTGTTCAGGGGTCCGGGGTCAGGACCAAGATAGATAGCACCTCCCTCTGGTGTGAGCTTAAAGTGTTGAATGTGTAATGAGAGAACGCCATCTAAGGAACGATGAGGGGTAATTGCATATTCACTGCTGGGTAACTAATATCCGATCAAAAGGAAGGGTTCCATCTGGGCCAAAGGTAACGAGCGGAGCTCGTGGGTATGTACGGGAACCATCGGGAAGGTTCCACAAGGGGGCGTGGCTAGAGGCGGAGCTTAGCTCCGCCGAAAGCAATATAAGGAGATGCAGTGAGAGGACTCTTGGTTGGGTGGGGAGCCTGGAATCCAGACTGCATCATCGCTTACCTCTACTTGCCACCGGCCACGTGGCGGGCTCTTATTACAAATGTAACAGTGTTAATAAATGGCAACAGCCCTTATAGCATTCCTCGTCTCCGCATGGTTCTACGGCACAACACTTGGATGACAGTATCAATGTACATTACATTGTAGAGTAACACATTTTCTTTTGTACGGATGGAAGCTAAATTTATTTCGAGGTTGCTGAACCAGTGAACGGTTGCAGAAATAGCCTGATGATTATCTGGAATCCTACAAGTGAATTTTAAAAGCAGGTAGTGCCAGACTATGTTCTCCAAGGTTTTAGATTTGTGTCTGTTATCACACTGCATGCTATTCTTAAATTTTCAGTGCATAATATAGCCACATCTGCCATTCGATGTTCCGATTCAATAAAATACAGACATTTTTTTGCAGGGCAAATTGTAATTGGTAGTTTCTTCTGTGGACACAGTGATTCCGTGCTGGTTAGGGACTTTGGCAGTGTTGCAGGTGACTCACTCCTGGGACTCAAAGTTGAATGAGGGGACTTTGAGAGCTTATGCTCGATCTCAAAGTGGGTTCCAGGATCTGAAGGTTCTATTAAATAGGTAATTTGGGTGTTACCATAAAGCATGTATAGAGGAGAGAAATATGCGGTGCGCACGCACAGTTAAGCGGGTGCAACCGAGGTCAAACAGGTACTACGCTGATAATTGTTTTTTTACCCTTCTATCTGGCAACAAAACTGATACTTTTTTACAAGGAGTCATGTTTGCATAGACCACAATACCTGCAGTCATAATAGAAACAAAGGACATAACTCTGATAATGTGCACTGTCCTTGAAGTTGATTGGTCCACACCCGAGACAGCTTTCCTTAGAGCCTAGTCTCACATGGGTTGGACCAGATGACGCCAAAAGACACACAACTCAAAGACAATGCACCATCAGAGTATGAGAGCTCGGGGTAAGCCTTTACGCTATGGGAACCTCATTTGCCAGTAAAAATATGATAATTGTTTTTTTACCCTTCTATCTGGCAACAGGCTAGGCTCTAAGGAAAGCTGTCTCGGGTGTGGACCAATCAACTTCAAGGACAGTGCACATTATCAGAGTTATGTCTTTTGTTTGTATTATGACTGCAGGTATTGCGGTCTATGCAAACATGACTCCTTGTAAAAAGGTGTCCGTTTTGTTGCCAGATAGAAGGGTAAAAAACCAATTATCATATTTTTACTGG